CGTGTACAGTGCAGTGAAATTTATGACGTATGATGGCTCTGAAGCACTGCCCCGAATGTGTTGCCTGCTAAGGTTCCTTTTCGGTTAAAATGCTGCCCAACAAGAGAGGCTTTGAAGGCAGTGACTAGTTAGGCAGCTGCCTTCAGAATGGAACGCACTAACAGAGTCCGTAAACAACAACAACAACAACCAATGAACAGCAACTTAATAAACTGCAAACTGTCAGAAAAGGATACTGTACAGGTCCCCCACAGTACAATGTAAATATACCTTCAAAGGTACAACATGATGCTTAAGGTCTATTTGTGTAGCTTAAATGAGGTACACTACATTTGCTTTCCAGGGGGAATGGTACATATTTGTGCATTTTTATAACGGTTTATGTAGAAAAATAAAGTAAGAATCCTGGAATTAAGGCCTTAAACTGTTCAATACTAGTACTAAAGTAATATGGTATATACTCTTGAAAGTACCATCCCCAGTCACAGTATAGCAGATAGTAATAGAATAGACAGTGCACAGAAACAAGTAGCTGATTGGATGTCAGCCCAAAATGACACCAGTATTTGTTTCTTCTTATTTCTGTCGCTTATTTTTGCAAATGTTGATTTAAAAACAGAAAAACAACAAAAAAAGCAATACCCGCGGTTTTTCTTAGGCTTTTCTGAATGTGGTTCTGCTGTTTTTCTGGTGCATTTCGTTCATTCCACCTTGTTCACAAACCTCAGAAAAACCAAATATCGTGACAAGTATTGGGATGTTATATTTCTGCCCTATCACCCACCCTTGGTCTCTAACCATTTAATTCCTGGCCAAACAATCACAAGGACAAAGGTTTACAACCCCCGCACACACACACACGTGGTTTTGCTAGCAGTGGAGGAGTGCTGTGCAGCCCTCAGGATATCTGGTTTCCTGAGTTAGCCACTGTTCGCTGGACTGCCACTGAAGCCAGCAGATCAGTTTGTGCGCACAAGGTTGAGTTGCACAGAATGCTGAGGGTTGCAGTGGCTGGTCGTTATATCATTGGTCAGATCCCGGCAAGGTCAAGTGACTTTGGCTCGATCTCTTGGCTCTGCGTGGACGTTCCCAATCGCTTTCATAAACAAATCACTTTCGGCACCCGCACGCCACAAGATAAACAACACATTGTGGTAAACCTCGGAAAAACTTCTTTCCTTCCCAAGAGGTTCTGGCTTTTGGCTTTGAAAACACAGCTTAAGTTTCACTATTGGAAGCCTGCACTGGCACTATCAATCAACTTCTCAATTTTCCTCTAGTTAGTTCTGATCTGAGGGCAACTTTAAAGTAGGGCTGTGTCATCTAGCCAGCATAGTTTTCTCTGCCTTAATACAAATCATGAATCACAATCCTATTGATCCCATCAATATTTGAATGAGGTGCAGGCAAAAGACTAAACTACATGGACTAGAGGTTGATACTTGCTTTACATATTATAGGATTATGCTTTTGTACCCCCAATTATAAACTGGACAGGAAAATCTCCAGATGTCAATGAAGAGTGTCGAATGAAGAAATGATTGGAAAAGATCTAAAGTGTTAAATGAAGACCTAAGAAGTGAATGAAGGTCTAAAGTGTTGGAAACAACTTAAATTGGAGAATGAAGATCTAAAATGTATAAAATGAAGGCCTCGAGGGTTGGAAATGACTTGAAGTGTTGAAAGAAGACCTAAAGTGCTTGATAAGGACATAAACTGTTGGAAAAGACATAAAGTGCTGAATGAAGATCTAAAGCAGGGTTGATCTACCACCCTAAACAGTTCCCATCCAACTTGCCTGGCTGTGTTATTCTGATGCTCCTTTAAGGCCTTCATTACCTGGATCAGGTGTGTTTGATTAGGGTTGGAGCTAAACTTTGCAAAGTGGTAGATCTCCAGGACCAGGATTGGCCACCCCTGATCTAAAGTGTTGAATGAATATCTAAAGTGTTGAGTGAAGACCTAGAAAGTGTTGAACGAAAATAAAAAGCGTTGAATGAAGACCTGAAGTGCATAATGAACACTGAAGTCTTGGATGAAGACCTGAGGTGTTGAATGACGACCTAAAATGTTGGATGATGACCAAAAAGTGTTGGGGGAAGACCTAAAACCTGTTGAATTAATATCTTAAATGTTTAATGAAGATCAAAAAAGTGTTGAATGAAGATATAAAGGTTTAATTAAAGACCTAAAGAGTTGAATGAAGAACTAAACTGTTTAATACAGACATAAAGTTTTCACTGAAGACCTAAAGTGTTGCATAAAGACCTGAGGTGTTGCATGAAGACCTAAAGTGTTGAATGAAGATCTAGAAAGTATTGAATGAAAATCTAAGTGTTCAATGAGAATCTAAGTGTTAACTAAAGATGTAAAGTGTTGGAAACAATTTAAAGTTGTGAATGAAGACCTTAAATGTTGAAAGAAGACTTCAAGTGTTGAATGAAGACCTCAAGTGTTGAATGAAGATCTAAAAGTGTTGAATGAAGATCTAAAATGATGGAAACAACTTCAATTGTTGAAAAAAGACCTAAAGTGTTGAATGAAGACCTCAAGTGTTGAATGAAGACCTAAAAGTGTTGAATGAAGATCTAAAAGTGTTGAATGAAGATCTGAAGTGATGGAAACAACTTCAATTGTTGAAAAAAAACCTAAAGTGTTGAATGAAGACCTAAAAAGTGTTGAATGAAGACCTTAAAGTCTAAATTATTATACTAAATTATTTGATAAATACATTGTGTTCAATGAAGACCTAAAGTGGTACATAAAGACCTAAAGTGTTGGATGAACACCTGAAAGTGTTGAATGAAGATAAAATGTGTTAAATGAAGACCTGAAGTGCGGAATGAACAACTAAAGTCGTGGATGAAGACCTTAGGTATTGTATGAAGACCTAAAGTGTTGAAGATCTAAGAAGTGTTGAATGAGGCTCTAAGTGTTGGAAACAACTTAGATTGTTGAAAAAAGACCTACAATGTTTAATGAAGACCTGAAGTGTTTAATAAAAAACTAAACTATTTGATAAAGACATAAATTGTTCAATGAAGACCCTAAAGTGGTGCATAAAGACTTAAAATGATGAATGAAGTCACAAGTCTTGTATAAACACCTGAAGTGTTGAATAAAAAGCTAAAAGTGTTGAATGAAGATCTAAAGTGTTAAACTAAGGTCTACAGTGATGAAAAAGAGTATTGAATAAAGACCTGTGGTTGAATGAAGCACTCATATCCATTCGAGCTGGACCTAAATAAACACTCTGAGAAGGAAATCAACACTGGGGATTGGCTGAAATATCTGCTACAAGTCAATCAGTTTTAGTCCTGTAAAATGAGGACAAAACAACAAAGTATGTTGCCATCTATTATTCTAGGAACAGCCTCAATAGTGCAATTGCTTGGCTCATCAGATGTGCTGTAGAACTGTTTTCATTTCATCAGTTATAGAAAACGAATATAGTCTTAGTCGAAACAAGATGCCATCATTCTTCACCAACATTTACTACGAGTCAGAATGGCTCAGTTTTTTTGGAACGACAAACCTTCTGCTTTAATCACAGCTTGAACCCTGTCTGGCAGTTTCCGCAGGTTTTCAGAGGACACGGTACGTTTCACAGTGGCTTTGAGGTCTGGGGACTGTTTACTAAAAAGTAAAGAACAGCTAACCAAAGAATATTGATTTATTTCCGTTTTAAATAATGTGTTTTCGAATAAGATGTGCCAGCCGAGTAAAATGATGCATTGTTTTTGTTGTTTGTTATTTAAAACACATGAAATAAACAATTGTAATTCCAATTTTTATCTCTGTAATGTATAATACTGTTGTCATAAGAAAACCTTGTATCTCCAAAACTTTACAGGAGAAGGAAAAAACATACTTTACTTTTAATGTAAGTCAATGGAACCAGATGTTTTTCCAAGTCATTTTGGGTCATTTCTGTTGGTCCACTCATCACGAAATTTACACACAATGTAAAGGACAACAAGTATTTTCAAAGCCTGTCAAAAACTGAAAAAAAATAAAAATATATATATATATATATATATATATATATATATAGCAGCGGTATATGTATATACTATGTATATAATAGTATATAATATGTACACATTAGATATAAATTTCATGATGAATGGACCAAAAGAAACGGCTCAAAATGACTTGGAAAAAAGTCTGGTTCCATTGACTTACATTAAAAGTAAAGTATGTTTTTTGGTTCTCTTGTGAAGTTCTCATTTTGGAGATACGAGGTTTAGTTCTGACAACAGCGCTATGTTGACCTGTGCAAAAGTTATGGCCCTATATTTTCTATGCTTTACTATTTCTTTCAAACTTTTGCACCTTTGCGCATGACTACGTGTCATTATTTCACACATCTTCACGATTTCATATATTTTAAATAAGTACTGTGAAATTGCAAAGCTATAAATAAAACTTAAGACGTACACAGAGTTGTAGATCATTCTAAAATGACTGTGAATGAAATCTGTATAGCATCATGAATGAAGTTAAAAATAAACAATAATAACAAGAAGTAAAAAACAGATCAAATCTTAAGGTCGAAAAATGACTAATATACTGTAATGAGTTACAGTATATAGTTTATTACTTGATACATTCTTGCTGTTATCAAATTTCTATACCTCATATTAAAATGACCTTTGTTTATAATATATATATTTTTGAAAGTTTATATATATATATATATATATATATATATATATATATATATATGAATAATTAATATATAAAGCAGTTAATGTATATATATATATATATATATATATATATATATATATATATATATATATACACATACAAACATATATATTAACTGCACACAAAACAACAATGCAATAAACATACAAAGTTGTCATATATTGATAAATTCCACATTCCAAAATATTCCACTGACATTTTGGGATATATTCGGCAGTGTATTCCCCTATTTCGCTCCCCTTTGCGTGTGCGCGTGTTTGGCTTGCGCCCGCGTGCGTGTCTCTTACCGGCTGGTACACCGCTGGGCAGAGCTCCGCGTGCGTAATCATCAGTAGGATACCCAGCATTGCCGCGCCCAGCGCCCACGCGCACAGCCGCCGCTTGTCCTCCAGCAGAAACTTTCTGTCGCGCAGGCGGTACAGGTTGCTGCCCTCGATGGGGCTCACGCGCTTGCCAGGGTGCGAGAGCGACACGGTGATCTCCGCGGGCTCGCCGTTGCGGCTCGCGAGCCCGTCACAGTTCACCGCCAGCCCGTCCGTTTTGGGCTCGGGCGTCCGCGGCTCGCGCGCATTCATCTCCATGCTGCCCTGCCTCCGGCTGGCCCAGCGCGAGAGCGGGACATAGCACGGGGAGCACGCGCGTCCACTATTCGCCCACTGTCCTCAGAACAAACGAACGAGTCGAGGGATGAACGAGCACAAACTGGCGCGTGAGAGCGCACCGTTCAGTGAACTGTCCACTCTGTGTCTGCCTGTGAAGACAGCTGCGGTTTGCATCTGTTCTCGAACCCTCGCGAGCCCTCCGCCAGCTCACGGCTGTCCGCGCGCGCTGAAGTTTAGCGGACTTTCTTCGCTCGCGCTGCTCCGCCTCCCCGCAGCCCTCTTTAAAAACACTCCGGACGGCGGTCGTAGTAAGGGCGCGTTCCAAATCGCTTCCAACTGGAAGGCTAGTGCACTTAGATAGGGCTTTAGTGCGTCAGACATTTTATAGGGGAGTTCGGATTCTCGCGGGAAACTCCGAGGTTTTGAGTCAAACGGAAAGGAAGCCGCCTGCCGTCTTGCTGGATAAAGGGGAATGCCACCGATTTTTCAAAATTTCTCTGTAATTCAGTGTTTGAAATGTAAATAAATACATTCAGAGCGTTTTGACATGAAATAGTTCATTTGCAGAGAAACTTACCGACTTAGATTTCTTTATTTATTAAAATAAATGGATTAAAATGTGCTCTGGTCAAAATCTTTCTCACAAAATACTGTTGTAAAACAATGTCTCAGCTGTCAGGCAGCGTATTAATAATCATTTCAAGTACAATTTTTCTGTGAGGGAGCTTTTAAAGGTGGACGTCTGGTTCCTATCACCACCACTGTGAACCATTCTGATTCAGTAAGTTTCTCTAGAACGGAGCATTTCACACCAAACCACTCTGAATGATTTTGTTTACATCTCAACCAGTTAATTATGCAGCAAATTTGAAAAATGTGGAGTTCTCTTTTAATACTGTTGTCTTATGAAACACGGACTTAGTTGTTTTTTAACAGTGTCCAATGAAACAGCCTCTTAGAAGGCAGCGTTTCCGGACGCTGTCTAATATCGAAGGTCCCTTTAAAGTGGTTTGGTTTGAGACCGGTTTCCAAGGCAACACGCGTCGCAACCCTCCCAAGATACCGAGCATTAACAGCTGTACTTACCGCCACCTGGTGGTCATTTGGGCAAACATCAGCAATTTTTTCCCCGCTTGAGATAGAAAAAGTAGCCACACTGCCCATTTCTCTGTAAAGAAAGTGTTAATAACAGCAATGTAGAGGTGTCTGAATAGGCGAGTGTACGATGCCTTCTTAGGAACCCCCACCCAAACATCCGCACACCTCATATACTTTATAATTCTCTAGTCTTTTCAATAGCTGTAGGTAAACCTAATTGTTAAACGTTGTTGATATGAGCTTAATAGACATTATAAGCAATATAATGCTATTAAATCAGCATAAGTGCAAACAACATAAGGGCTGATTTGAAGTGTTTTTGAGGTTTGAACTGGTGAAAAATATCGATTTTGTTCGTCTAAGCTACATGTTTGCTTTGCATTGTTTAATTGTACAGATTTTTTTTCCACATGAAATCATTTTTTGGTTGAGCTTTTTTAATCTTATAAAGACACTGCGTTTCACATCAGACCACTCTAAATGACTTTGTTTACATCTTAACCATTTAAATACGCAGAACAACAGTGCATTTCCTCTATTAGAAATGTGAGTATGCATGCCTATTTAAATGCACTGTATGTGAATTGCTCTTTGGCCCGCTATGAACTGTAATGCAGAACTATATCTCTAAATCAGGCGCGTGGCTCTTTAACTGCTCCTCAGCAGAATTAGATTTTTAGGTAAAAAAAAATAAATAAATAAAAGTAAAATAATCATTTTTGCAGTAAAATAAAGCTGTGCTGATCGTTCTAATGCAGTTTTAACAAAAAATGGTATTAAACGCTGGAGTATAACGGTAATTCACTGACCTTTAACCCTGAAGGTTGGCGCGCAGACTGCTGGTCACCACAGCAACGCAGACAGTCTCGCCTAGCTAGCAGCTAACGAAACGACAAAGAGACAGATTTAAGATAAACATCGATAATTTGGAGATGAATGGACTTTTTTGCGTTTATAAGCTCTCCAGCTGGTTTCCTGATACGTTTAATCTGCAAAAAAACGGTCAAACACTAAAAAGTCATGAAGCTGAATTCAACTTTTCGTTCGAATTGTCCCGTTCAACCTTAAATGGTGCAGCAGTCACATTCTGGCGCCTCAGGCAGCATTTAAGGTGGAACGGGAAATTCGAAGAAGAAGCTGGTGAATGAGAAGCGACTTCAGCCTCGTAAAAAGTCAAATGTTGAGAGACATTTTACAAGAAACTGATCTACTTTTGTGGAAAAGGTTCCGGCCGGAGATGCGAGAAAAGCAGAGCAAAGTAAGTCTGTGGTTTCGTTTATATTACATTTCTTAGTCTATATTAGTACTTTAGCACATACTGAGACATATTTACAGCCAAGACGGTAAAACGTTACTTAAATAAATTGACATAAAACGCTGTGGCTCCCAAGGTGGTTTGATTTATTGTTGAAAGGACAAAATGGGTCTTGTTAATATTTGGGTTGCCAGCACCTGACCTAAATCATTATCAGTCTATCCCAATAGCATTGGAAATAAATGTAGGCTGTTTCTGTTTCTGTGCCTTTAAGACTGATATTCTGTGTGTAGATAAGCTCTGTTCTGATTGGCTGCCCTGAATTATGCCTCCTTCAAAAAGCAGTCAGGGCTGAAAGACTCCTTATTTAATACAGCTTAACTATAACTTAACGCTTGAATAGGTGGGGCTAAACTGATATATAGGTGGATTTATGTAAAGGTGTTGGTTTTTGTGACATCACAAAAACAGTGAATTCAAAACAGGCTGTTTTAGCAGCTTCTTCTCTTTCTATGGACTGCATGGACTGGGCAGTGAATGGTATGTTTTAAAATTTAAGTCTTTTATTTCAAGAAAGTGAGGGGAATTCAGTCACGATATGGGTCCTTTAACACTTACTGCTCATGGAAAGTCTGCAAAAAAGCTATGGATCATTCTGTCCACTTATAAAGAACCGCAGACACGGAGAGGGCAGTTCTGGCTAGCTGAAAAACCAATTTCAACCTATTATATCTGTATCACATTTAAGTAACTTCAATAAAACTACAAAATGCAACTTACTTCTGAATTTGGAGAGGCATACTGAACTTTGAACATTAATAATTTCCCCCCTTTAAAAAATTCAGGGACAAAAATAATATTAAAATGCACAATGATTAGTATTATTATTAGTATTATTTTAATAAAATATATGCACACAGAGAAATATACAACAATAACACTCAAAACTGTTAGACTGAGGCAAAAACATTCACAGGATTTGCATCACTTGATGCTACTGGTATGTAAAGTAAAAAGTAACCACAAATAAATAGGATTTCCACATTAAAAAGCAAATAAGAATTAAATGTCAGCGAAAGCAGGAAAGCAAGGAACACGTACAATAAAAAAAAAAGCCAAGTTTACAATTCCAGTGTCAAAAGCTATCTACATTTGTAAAGTGCGCCATTTGTGATTATAAAAATAGAAGTTTTTCAGAAAATCAAGATTTGATTTCAGCTCAGATTTTCATATAAAGGTAAGCAATATTCTTTGTAGGCTGGTTAAAAAGCACAGTGGAAAAAAAGCACAATTTTCAAGACAAAGTTGTGATGCAAATATAAATAATTTTGCACTGAAGTATAAGCACAGCACAGAACTAGAACCTGACCGATATATCAGCAGGCCGATGATTTCGATGACTTGTGGTGTTGACAGTTTCAGCCTGTTTTGGTCACGGCATCGCAACCTGCTGACAACAGGTTAACACTTTAGACACTTGTGCCACTGGTGTAAACCAACCCCTTTTTAAATATACAACATACAACAACATGTACAATAACATGAAACATCATAAATAAGACCTTTTTATGCCACTTCTTTTTGGAGGGCATTTCCAAAAGCCCCATACACATCTATGAATGTTTGCATACAGCTGTAAATACTCTGTTAGAAATAAAGGTTCTGTGCAGGTATATTTTTTGTTCATTAAAGTACAAACAATGTAAATGGTCCCACAAAGGTACAACAGTGGTTTTAAGATCCAATTGTGAACCTTAAATGAGTTTTTCCAGGGGAAAAGTTCATATTTTTACCTTTTCATAACCTAATGTTTTGAAACAGAACAATAAAATAAAAAGCCTGGAGACGAGACGGGGCATGTGGAGTCAATACAACTTAGAAAACATGATTTCAGTGGAGTATCGTACAATTATGTTCCCTGACTAAAGGTACTGAGATGTACCCTTGAGGGTACCACCCCAGTGACAAGAGAGATACTGCCCCAGTGACAGGTTAGTACCTTTTTTTCTGAGAGTGTGTGCATGACCTGCACTATTTACAGCTGTACGCAAATGTTTGAACACCGCCAGTTAAATTCATGTTGAAAATAAGTTAAAACATCATCAGCAGGGAACAAACTCAAATCATTTTCTGCAAAATTTCAGTTCAACATATTGGAAAAAAAATAGAACACGCAATAGAAAATGTCTAGATTTGATGTTTTTCCCCCAATATGTTAAATTCACAAAATAAACAGTAATTGTGCCACAAATATAAAGGATGACACCTAAAAATGCAACAAATATGTAATTTGACCAGTTTTATTCATATAGTTATAAAGTGTCAATAAAGCACTGTTTAATTAAAACTACTGAAGTATGAACTTAAAACCTAAAATCCACATTTAAAATCATATCGGCCAATATTATCGGTTACGGAATTTTTAGGCCCTTAATATCAGTATCGGCCCTAAAGCTTTCATATCGGTCAGGCCCTGCACAGAACACAGTGGATTTTGCTGTATATAGCATCATCTACTGGCTTTGAAATGAATGACACTCATGAACAAACTCATAGAAAACGATGCAAGTGAGGATTAGCAAAGACTCAGACGTGATGTCTTTTTCATAGGAATGTAGTCAAATCAGTATCCTGAGAGATGTTTTTGTCACAGTGAAGTGCTAACTATGCTAGACTACTGCTACACTTTCAACAAAGATCACAGTATTTTGAGCCCCCACTCTTGTGATTTAAAACATGAAATCAACTTTGTATAAAGCATCACAGGCACTTATGACACAAAAAAGGACATACCTGAGTCAAGGAAGTGATGACCAGGGAATGTTTGAATAGAGAATGCTTTTCTTTTCTCCTTTTTTTCCCCCCTTTCCCCTTGTCCAGTGATGTTTTTAATCATCAATAAATATATCTACCTGATTTTCTTATAGAAACCACCATTAAATGCAAGTTCTGAGATGTTTTGCTAGTTAAATAGTGATAGGTGACAATCTCTTAATGATTCAAACGTTCACAGAATGGCTTCATAGATGCAATGCTTGCATCAGGTCGTGTGGTCCCTGAATAGAAGATTTGAGCTGCATGTACAGTCTTGTGCAAAAGTTTGGGCACCCCTGATGAAATGACTTGTTTTGCCGATTTTCTAAAATTGCAAATAAGTTCACACATCATCAATTTACCTGAAAATGTAGTGCTACATTTCTGTTTATTTGCTACGACAGCATTTTAGGTCCACTGTTAATAAAGAAACTAAAATAAATAGTAGACTTTATAGTGGACAATAAAGTAGTAATATTTTGAGAAAAAAGTCGTAATATTTCAGGAAAAAAAGTTGCAATATTTCGAGAAAAAAGTCGTAGAATTACGACATTAGAGTGGCATTAATACCATGAAACATCGCAATATTGTGGCCAAAGGCTTTACAAAGGGAAGGCAGCACCTCCTCGTGTTAAATGAGGGGAGTTGAGAAGTTGGTGGAGTTATACTTTCATATCGAATTCACCCATTAAGAAATACTCAGTCTCCCTGTCTCTCCTGGCACATCATCACCAGGCTGTTATTAGTATGAGAAACTGTGTTTATTTAGAATAAAGATCCAGACGGACTCGGAGCGTCTACACGGCTATCGGGGGTACATCTCCATACTATTCAGAGAGGGCATGAAGTTTCACAGACAATGAGAATGATAATCAAAACGATTGATCCACAAGAAGATAGGAGTGTGTAGAACTCCGGCGCCAGTACAGCAACCGAGACCCCAACGCATTACGGCAGCCCCCCTACAGTTAGCCCCCTTTATCCTCCAAATATTATGACTTTTTTTTCTCTAAATATTACGATTTTTTTCTTGAAATATTACGACTTTATTCTCAAAATATGACGACTTTATTCTCGAAGTCTGCTATTTTTATTTTTATTAACAGTGGTCCTAAAATGCCTCATAATTTGCTGAATGTAACATATTGGGGAAAAAAAAACATAAAACATGGCTTTTCTTTTTTCCAGTGGGTTAAATTTAACAAATATACAGTTGTATGTTTAAATTTGCATGGTCAAAATACATGTTTTGTTGATTTTCTAAGTGAAAGTAAGTGAACACATCCTCTACAGGGAACACTTAATCCCTTAAATATTGCATTCAAAATGTGCCATACCATTGCACTGGCCACACTTTGTGTTTTTCTCCCCCACAATATATTAAATTCAACAAATACTCATTAATTGTGCTTTAAAATGTGCTCTCTGTAGAGAACGTGTTAACTTATTTTCACTTGTCATTTGAGCAGAGGTGCACATACTTTTGCACACAACTGTATAAAACTGTGTAGCAGACAATGGGTACTTTATTTTACTTAGAAAATAAACAAAACATGTCATGTGACCAGGGGTGCCTAAACCTTTGCTTAAGACTGTTGTTCAGTATTGCTTGGTTCAGTGAAAGCATCAGTGGTCAATGTTCCCTTTGGATCGAGTGGAAAACCTACATTATATAACAATTCATCATTTACAAGTATTTCATGATAAAATATTGAGAACAGTTGAACATGAGACTCAGAATCTACTAGTTGGTCACCGTACCGATCCCACCCTCATTGGTTTTAGTCTATCCTTTGACGGCGCCCCACGGCTGGAGGGCTGCGTGGGGGACGATGAACTGAGGCGGAGGTTTGGGGAGTACGTAGTAGCCGAGCACAGGGGCTGGTGGAGGGGTACAAATGGTGGTGAGCAGTACTGGGCCTTTCTTCTTGTACTGAGGCCACATTGGTGTCGGGTGGTAGAAGTACTGGAGCCCAGGGAGCTTTAAATAGAAACATACAGTACAATTAGTGATATTAATCCAAAGGCTTTACTTTCCAAAGCTTTCTAGGAATTGTTTGATTGCTTTGATGACTGATTTGGTTGTATTTATCAGCTTTGACAAAATGATTTTATAAATTTAACAGCTTCACTCGCGAAGGAACAACAAAGCTTTTTAAAATTATTGTTTAAATAATTGATTTGTGTTTGACAAAGCAATTTATTTTGTGAATCTGAAGTCTTTTATTTAAAAAAGCCTTTTTTTTGGGACTACTTAGACAGGAGTAGTGTTGCCTGTTGAGGTAGGATACTGTAATTATTACTGCCGTTTCTCAGTGATTTTAGTCCTGTATAATATTAATTTTAAATGAAGAGTTTTGTTACAAAATGCATTAAAAATGACCTTCAAGCATTTTCTTTTTCTTATGATATACATTGTTATGAGTGAGCTTTACACACACACAAAATATCAGTGCTATATTATGATTCATACCACCTTTATTAGAGAAATAAAAATTTATTTTCCATTATACTGTTATTCTTTTCAAAAACTTGTTATATGCAAAATTGCTACAAATGGATATACAGAATTATGGAATAGAAGTCTTTAAAAATGTCATCATTTCTTGTGGAAAGGAAGTTTACACTTTTATGAAGTGGAGGCTCATAGAAGCACTTACTTATATTCTCTATTGCCCAAATCAAGACGATATATGTTATCAACATGTATATGTTAACAAAAATTTATAGCATATATTTGGGATTGACTGAATTGTGAGAAGCTGAAAAAGCAACCAATTTCTAAGACTGAACTTTGGAAGTATGAAAAAATATCCTTGCAAATGTCTTTAAGCAGCTGAAACAGTAACATCTGATATTTTGTTAAGTTCTTGAGGCTTCTCCATAATTTTCTTTTAAATATATGTGTACTGTTTTTTTATGATGCTGAAAAATAAATAACTTGTTCTTGATGTCCATTTTTACTGGAAATTAAACAAATGAAGGGTGGAGTTTTTTGCGCAGTACTATAGATGCCCATTTATCACTTTTCCCAGACTTGTGGAATAGCATGCACTCTAGACAGATGTTTAAGTGTGTGGTTACTGTAAAAACACAGATAAGAACCAAAATTCCCTTGATGTGATGACTCATACCTGAGACTTTGGAATTTTCCGCGGCTTCGGCTCCCTCAGTCTGGGTCTCATTGCAATCACGAAAGCTTTGTTCTCCCCCTTCCTCTCTTCTTCTGGTTTCCCTTTTACTTTCTTCGTCTCGCCGTCTCCCGCCTCCTCCTCTGTGTCGCTGGACACGGCTGAGCCGCAGTCAGAGGAGCTGGCCGAGTGGTAGTCCGAAGTGTCCAGATTCACCGAATCGGAGCTGTCTTGACTGAGACCGGCCTCCTTATCTTCATCCTCCTCCTCTGCCTCGCTGAAACGAGCCACTGTGAAATGCCTGCAGCTCTCACCTGATCTGTTGGACAACATTGTTTCCATTATTACTGTTCTTTGTTATCTTCCTACTTTTTTAAAAAACCTTTAACAGGTTATAGAGGAACAATGTGCTTGTGCTTTTGGATCCGATCGCATGTACAGTTTTCGTACAGCATTCTAACCCATTTTTTTCTCCAAAGGAAATGAATGGGGGGGTGTTGAGAAGTTAAAATCTGCCACCATTGATATGGGCATCTCTCACACTCACACTCACATCACATATACACTCACGTAAATACTAGCACATGTACATACGCACATAGCAACAGCCTAGCAACACCTTCACTACTACCTCAGATATCATAGCAATGGCCTAGCAAAACCTTAGTAACCATTTAGGAAACTGTAGCAACATACTAGCAACATCTTAACAACCACCTGGGATATCATAGCAATGGGCCTGCAACATCTGACCAACCTTTTGAGAAAGTGTAGCAACAGACTAACAACGCCAAAGCAACCACCTGGGATATCCCAGCAACAGCCTAGTAACACCTTAGCAAACACCTGGGATACCGTAGCAGTAGCCTAGCAACACCTTAGAAACCACCTGGGACACTATACTATTAGCTTGGCAATACCTTAACAACCACCTGGGACTCTGTAGCAACAGCCTAGCAACACCTTAGTAACAACTTTGTCAAGCCAACTTTAAGTTCGTTCACGAAAGACTTTATCTTACACTGTAGACGCTGGTGTCTGCTACAAAAGGAGGCCTGTGTGAAGAAGCTACTTACCGAACAGACACCTCCAGCGGATCAATCCATAGTGTGATCTCGCGGGGGAGGCCCAGCTCAGACGGCCTCAGTTCACTTTCCTCACATGCTTGGAGCACTGAATCATCGCATGGCGTGCCTTCATTTATCCTGATGCATCTGTTACGGGGTGAGGGGTGCGAAGAATGATATGACATCCTACAAATCTTCCACTGATTTTTTACATTTCTGCATAATCGTCAAGATGTAAAAAAAAGTAATCCAGAATGGTTTCATGTGAAATGTTTCGTTCTAGAGAAACTTAAAATCAGGAGTGCCAACAGTGGCGGTGATAAGAAATAGACGTCTACTAACTACTACTTATACTACCTCTAAACGTTTTTAGTCCATTATTGGTGGAGGAGTACATGTAATGCATTATAAGACAAAATAGTCCCCAGAGAAAATATTAGTTTACCACTATCAACACTGCATTTCAAAACTTAGAAGATACTGTCTAGGTTATGGATGATTATGGATTATGGATGATGATGGCCACCCACTGCACACCATCATCATGGATAAGAGGAGCAAGTTTAGCGGCAGGTTGCTGTCACAGAGCTGACAGACTCAGGAGATCCTTTGTCCCTATAGCTATTAGGCTCTTCAACTCTTCCCAGTGGGGCCAGAAGAGAGGAGGGAAGAGGATAGATGAGGGCTGAGTCTCTCATGGTAAATCATAGGTTTATTTTATCTGCACATATGGACACCTTACCGTACATATTGCACTTCTGCACATCTTGCACATCTGGACAGGTTTTTTGTATATATTCTTCTTATATTGTGCCACCCTTATTATTATAACTGTGCTGTGTTGTATGATTGCTACTGGATTTCCTCTGGGATCGATCGATCTATCGATCTATCTATCTATCTATCTATCTATCTGTCCGTCCGTCCGTCCGTCCATCCATGCATCTTCACTGGCTGCTTTGGATAGTAAATGACTATACAGTCATGTGCAAAATTTTGGGCGCTCCTGATCAAATGACCTGGTTTGTTGATTTTCCAAGTAAACGTTAAACATCAGAGAGCACTTCTACATATTTTAATGCCCACTTACTGTTAATTTAAATCCAACACGTCAAACATACAAAATTTATGGCACATTCTATATTTTATGTTTTATTTTTACTCCAAATATGTTTTTACTCCAAATATGTTTAACTCATGCATTAAAATTAGCAGAAAAAAAGGCCATATTTAGGTCCTAGTAGAGGCCAAATTTGACCCTGGGCGGTTTAGCATATGACTGTTTTTGTGTTGCAGACTCTGGTTCCTGTCACCACCAGAGTAAAGTTGAGTAGGTTTCCCTTCAATTAACTATTTCACATCAAGCCATTTGGACTGACTGTTTACATCTCATAGAAAAAATCTTAAAAACTGGAGTTCCACTTTAAATTTCTGCTAGTTTTGCAGGCTGGCTGTGTCAACCTGCATGGTGATCTAATGTTGGAGGACAGTTAGAAGCTTCTGTTTCATTGATTAGGTACCTGTATGCCTGACCCTTGTTCGGATTGTCGGGATACCAGTGGTCCGTGTACTTCTTGCACAGGAGCTCTTGTAGTTTAGCAGCAAACAGTTTGGCTTTGGTTTCATCGATGCCTCCTCGCTCCAAGGCAAAGCGTTTCAGGAAGCTGACAGCAGCACTCACTTCTCTCTTCATCTCCCTGCTGGGTGTAAAAATAGCATTAAGGATTCAACTATTTTTTTTATTGCTTGCCATGTTCTCTTTAGATTTTACTTGACAGTTGACAATGATGACAGTGTTGAGAATGCTCATAACAAAGGCTTTATGATTTGAGGAAAACATCTAATTGCGATTTTTGATAAATAATATGACTAGAGACATGATAGTATATGTCAGTTTTGGACTTACCCGAAAAATAATAAAGCAACAATCCCAAAATACTTGACTGGACAAGGTAAACAAGGAAGCCAGTAATTGGGAATTTCAGATTTTTCAATATTTCTGCATAATTCAATCAAGTTTAGATGGGAACAAAGTCATTGTGAACAAGGAGTCACTATGTCCACAATGCCAAAAATGCCATTTTATTTACTATCCAAAATTACCAGTGAACCTATGTCTTCTGAGGTTTTACTATGTTCATGATGGTAAAACAGTGATAAATCTGAAAACATGTACCTTTCCATCATAAATAGATTGGGAAAAAATATGTTTTGGGCCAAAAGCTTATCTCACAACTATTGTAAAACGATATTCAAATAGTGTAATAACTTTCTGTGAGGGAGCTTTGTGGCATTATACTATCAATTGTGAGCCAGTTCTTCTCGTCCAACATCATTGCCTGACCTCACAAATGCTCTTTTGATTGAATGGACACAAATTCCCACTCCAAAACCTTGTGGAAAGCCTTTCCAGAAGAGCGGAGGTTTTTTATTGTGAAGTGTCCTTGTTCAAGTTTTCCATTAACATGTCTTTCATTCTTTCTTTTGTCACAAGGAAGTAGCTGTGTTCTTAAATACGAGTGTGCAGACATCATTTACATGAAGAGCGAACAACATGGAAATCAACACGGATTGCCATGGAAGACAGAGGTCACAAGATTAGAACAAATACAGCATGGCAAGCAATCTGTTCCAGGTTGTTTTGTTTTCTAAATATGTCAATATTACTGGCGACACAACAGACCCGTTCTATCCAGAACAAAACACAGGAATGACTGTATTACAAAATGTTCCAAAGAATTCATTATCCTGCATCAGGCAAGACACCCTATCAACGTCATTCACCAACAGACACAACATTAGATAAGTAAGATTTGTAATTTAAATGATGACTCTGAGGTGCAGGAAGCATTACTGTTAAACAGATAATGGTAACTGAATCATTACCAGGGTTACTGTGCATTCTTAGAACTTAGAATAGGGCTCTTTTTTGTTACTTAGCAGCTTTGTTTATTTTATATACTGGATATGAAGTTTATTTAGCATGTTTGCCTCATAAATTGATCTTTGTAGTGTAGGGACAGATATATATATGCATCTTTAAGACCTGTGGTTTTATCGGTAGAGGAGAAAATACTACAGATATCAAACCGATATTTGGTACAACAAAACCTTGGATGACTAGAACCCAACATGAAACTTAATTTTAACAGCAATACAGGCTGAACTGGTGAATCTGGACACAAACCACCATCATAGTTAGAAAAACAAAAACGTGCTGGAAGAACATGAATAACATGCTGGAAAACCAAATGTGAAAAACATAATAATAACATGCTATATGACAAGAAATATGAAAAAAAAGAATTCTGAGTAGCTTTATGCTCAGTGGTAAAATATTTCGATTATTGAAGACTGAGTTTCAGTTGGTTATTTGAGTTTAAGAAGTGCGACCATTAAGAAGAGACAATCTGTCAGTAAAGCATAGTTTTTCTAAAACTTCAAGTGGTGTAATGGGTGGTATGGCCAAAAATTTATATTATAGTATAATTCAAATTTCTGTCATATTTATGTCATTCAGTCAGTATGCAAAAGTTTGAATACCTTCCATCAAATGACAAATTTTGTTGATTTTCTATGTGAATATATGTCTATAAAATATGTCTTCTACAGGGAAAAACAATACATATGACAAATTTTGTGCAAATTTTAGAGCACAGCTTTTATGTATGGTCTTAATTTAACATATTGGAAAAAATAAAACATAAAATGTGAAACTTCAGCACAAGCCACATTTTAGGATTTTTTTCCACCCAATATGTTAAATCCAGAAGGGTGTTACATTAGCATAAAATTTCACACTGCTATTGTGAAGTGGTTTTAGGTTTAAGAAAAGTGCTAAAATTACACATATTACTATTATTATTATTATGCAAATTAGCCTTGTGGAAGACCCACCCCTTTAAATAAAGCCTTATAAGTTTTGCCAGTTCATCAGGAAATAGCAAGTCATAGACTTTGTTTCTGGTTCGTGACACGCCCAGCTCCTTATCAACTTCCTTTCTGCCTCCGGGACATTTTCAATAGCAAATGTTTTTGTGTTGAATGGCGTGTTCGCTTGCAGTGTTGTGCAACATATTGCAACACCCCCTCAGGCGAGACTGATCCCATTTGACTGCTACAGCTAGATCATAACATATTGGGCACTACAGCTTTTACAAATGAGCTACATTTGGATGCACAAAGCACAATTCCATGTAACTGTTGAACTGATGACCATGTCTGTTTACAAACCAATTTCCAAAACAAACATGGACCGTTCTTAATATAAGAGAGGCACTGTTATTTATCAGGTAGACACCTAAGGCACTAATTCACATATAGTCAAGACACTGCTGTTGTCTTTTGTAGCCTGTAAAACTCTGCATGACAGCCTTTGTTAACAATTACAACTTCAAGGTCCTGACTCAAGAACACTTTGTGTTATCCAACCCCTTGCACTGCAGCAAGCATGTTTACATCAGTCTGAGGCCGCGATGATCAAGTCGCTGCTGATTATCTTGCTGTATCTGCTAATCGCAGTCTGTGTTCTGTTTCAAAATTTGCTTTGAGATTTTGAACTTGAACTTACTAGAATGGTCAAAAGTGAGAGGTGTAAACTTTCCATACTTCAAAATCATGAGTCAGCAGTGAACTTTGTTAAAAGACTTGATACAACCCCTTATAACACCCTAAATACAGCTATGGAGTATGAAAATGTAATATTTCGCTACTGTCACAACAAAATCTCATATCTCCATTTTTGTTGTCTTTCAGTTTTTGACATAATTTAAAAATGCCCGTTGCCCTTTACATTGTGTGTACATTTCATGAAGAATGGACCAAAAAAATGGCCCAAAATTACTTGGAAAACGTCTGGTTCCATTGACTTACATTAAAAGTAAAGAAGGTCTTTTCCTTCTCCTGTAAAGTTACATTTTGGAGATACGAGGTTTGGTAGGAGGTGTATATATACATATATATATATATATATATATATATATATATATATATATATATATATAGATGATATATATCATCAATACTGGTATACCAGTTAACAACATTGATTTTTAGTTTTAGAGCTATTGATAAATAACATTAAAATTAAACTAAAATTAGAGAAATTGATCATTTGCAGGTTGTTTTGAAAGTTAAAAATCAATAGCACATTGCTTCTCTAAAAAAACTAGTTCCTGTCTGGTTAAAGGGGAACCATGACAGGAACCAGACGTCTGATGAGTTTAATACCTCTGAAAGCTCCCTCTCAGAAAGCTATTACATTACATAGTTATAAATATGCTGCCTGATACCCGTGACATTGTTCTGTGATAATCTTGAGATTGAGTGTTGGCCTTGAAGCTTGCTTTTTAAAGTCCATTCATGACAGAGAGATACATGCAGGGTGTCATAAGGCAAAACAGTCCACTAGTTTACATCAAACCATGCTGAATCACCTTGTTTACGTCTCAACCACTGAATTATGCAAGACAGAAATCAGTGGAAATCCTCCTTAATATTTATAATGCTGTATAAACTCCTTTTGGTACAATTTTAAGAGAAACAGAACAGAAGAGACTTCCGTAAGATATTGTTTTAGCACCAGCACTCTGAATTGAAAATTGTAGTTCTTTAGCTTTATTAATATTTATAATATATTGAATATTTAAGTACACCTGCCTTATGACATTATAAGGCTTATTATCCAGTAACTACATTGACTACAATGTAAACTGGCAGACTTATTCTATAATATTTAATATATTGTTACTGTTGGAACAAAACTTTGTATCTTCAAAAAGGTAAATTTACAAGCGAAAAAAAAATGTTCTTAACTTTTAATATAAGTTAAATAATTTTGGAGCATTTCTATTGACCGATTCATCATGAAATTTTGGCACAACGCCAAGGGCAAAAAAGGAAAAATGGCAAAAATGGAGATAAAAGGTTTTGTCCCAACATTTGTTTCATGTTTCTTTTAATATTTAAGTTGAATGAACTGCTTAAATGCCCAAGGCCTGCCAGCGGATCCAAACCTCTATTACACACCTCTATAAATTAAGAATAACTCGGCAAGTTTGCATGGTAGTTCATGTTGTTACTGGATAATAAGCCTGAGAATGCAATAAAGATTGGATTTTAAAGAGTTAACTTAAATCGAATGTGATACATAGACTTTACAATACACAGTACTTCTGAATGCATGACTTGCTTTGAGTCCACACCAGCCAGACATTTGAGAACAACTGTTAGCAGCTGCTCTAAATGATGTAATATTGCAGTAACACCCTGAAAGTGTATGCAAGCGTCAGTCCTCAGTCAGAGAACAGCCTTGAATGACACCATCATGACTCACAAGTCTGCACCTGAAATGTTATGCAAAAAAGTCTAAGAACAGGAAGAAAGAAAACAGGCTGACAACTTTGATCATGCATTTCACATTGCAGGAGGCCAGTGTAGCAAGTGCATGTCATTCCATTGAAGAGTTAAGACAGCTGTGACCTCAGGATTTGAGGGGCTACTTTCCAAAACCATGGAAAGTAGTAGATTTACTCAGGTTCATGTGCTTCATTAAACATTTTTGATGTGTAATGCTAGGATTTTTTCCAGTGCTAACACTTTTGCTTCTACTCAAGTATATTTGTGAGACAAAAACTTTCTAGTCAGTAATATTTTAGTCAATAACACTGAGGTAATTTAGCTCCAGGACTGCTTTGCTAATGCTCACATCTCACCGTTGAGCTTTCGCATTGTATTTTAGACCAAATGGATCCCCAAAAATGGAATAATAACAGTGCTTGACAAACTTCAGTTCCTATGCTGATAAATGGTGGATGTACTTAGACGTTCCAGTTCAGCTTGTCACCGAAAGAGTTTTCTTCACTGGTACCTTTGTACTTAAGTTGGTTTCTGGCGGCTACTTTTACTCATTATTTCACTGAAATAACTTTACTTGAGGATGTTTAGGCTACTGTACTCTGTTCCATGTACTTAAGTACATTTGGATGGATTTCTACTTTTCCAATGCTAGGATTTTCCAATGCTAACAACAATCAACTCAAGTATATTTGTGAGGAAAATAATTCATATTTTTGTCATTTTCTTTGTTTTATTTCATCCTTTTTCATTGGTTTAGATCCTGGACTGCTTTGCTAATGCTCAGCTCTCAACTTTGAGCCTTTTTCATTTTAGTTTTTGACCAAAAGAATCCAAAAAAGAGGAAAAATAGCATGACAGACCTCAGTTTCTATGCTGATAGGTGCTACATGCTATGAAGTTGCAGTGTCTTTTTTCACCCGGTACTTTTTGAACTCAGGTTTCTGGAGGCCACTTTTACTTCTACTGTTCAGTAAAGTTCACTGAGGTAAAAGTTATTTTTCTGACCCATCTTTGTGGCTAATATATCATTCTGCTTTCAACTCTATTCCTCATTTCTCGTTATGGCTCTGACACAAAGACGTGAGGAAAACGAACACATGGTGCTTCAGCTACAGCCGCTACATGTGGCTACAGCAGCTGTGGAGGAATTCACTGAATGTGGGTTCTAACTTGACAAATATCGAGTAGACTATAGTTTTTGGTGAAGACATGTATGAATATTCTTCAAAACCATATGTGTCTTTTGAAGAAAGGTAAAAGAAGACCTATCATTGTTTCACGCTTCTTTGTGTTTGACTCCGTCCACACACTTTCCGCCAAGTCAGAGGAAATTCCCTTAAAGGAATCACCCAAATGTAGACAGAAAATTTCGACTGAATGGGACTTCGGCTGTTTTTTGTGTGGTCTGTCGATTTCTATAGCAGGACAAACTAAAGAAATTCCTCGTTTTCTTCTTTTCTTCCCATTTTTATATTATTCTGCTTACCTTCTGTCACTTTAACTGGAGTCTTAATTATGTATGGAGGTTCCAGTTACAGCAGCCAAATCAACTGTATTAATTTATAGAACTGACGTGGACTTGGCTATGTGAGTATACACGAGGTCCCACAGTCCAGCCTAACTCAGACTGACTTACACACTTTCTGTGATTGACAGATTTCTTACATAATTACTTTTTTAGCCTGAATGGACTCAGCTTTGTCAATTCAGTAATCCATTCTCACTTATTTAACACTTAATCTAGGCTATTTTACTTTGAACCAAAGTGACTTAACTCACCTACAGCACTCGTCCGTCTTTAGTGTTAAATCCCAGCTGTTTTGATGCCTGTCGTTCCCCCTCCAACTCTTCAGATACCTGAAATCTTATTATTCGACGCTGTTTCCTCGTCTACAGTCCACGCTTCGCCTTCCGTGTCGGCTCGTATTGAGCAAAGTTGGTCATTACTTTCCCGTCAGTAATTAACATGTGACTCACTTCCTTGTGCGGGTTTCTGAACAACGTGGTATTTGTACCCACCCATTTTGGGGGTGAAGCCCCGCCCACTTGCGCAGGGATTGGCTGGTAGCTCACACTCGCAAGCCGATTGGCGAAACTCAGAGAACCGCTTTAGCTTACTGGAAACCGGGTCGATTGCTGGGAATAGTGAAGACTCCTATAATAATAATAATAATAATAATAATTATAATAATTATTATTATATTATGATGATGATTATGAAGATACAGGCTCATATTGAAATCTGATATATGGCACTAAATAAATTTCAAATATATGACATGTATTAGCATATATGGGTTTCCCTTATATCCAACTTCTATTAGACACATACGAACATATATGAAACATGGGAAATGTTTCAATGTGGGAAATAAGTTTCAGTCATATATCAACATGTATAAACATATTTGTGTAACACATATTTCACAATATATGATTAAAAAAAAACATTATTCCTATATGCCAGCTTCATATTTTATAATGTAAGGTTGTTGCAGGTGTATTTCATTTTGATTTTTAGCTATAAATCCTTTTGGTGTTTGTATCAGATATTTATGCATATATATGTTCAGTATTTTATACTATACATCTATGTACATGTATTTTGAAATATATGGCTGATTATTCTGATATATAAGCATAAATGGCCAAAAAATATATATTCTACTGAACAGTTGTCCAGCCCTACCACAGTTTCAGTATTCAGCGCCGTCCCAGCAACTGATATATTTGCCAGTCTCAGCGCAGGAGGCGGGGCTTGCCTGAATACGAGTGGGAAAAAAAACAAACAATGACCTGCGTTGGCTGTTTCACTCGTACTACAGCAGGATGACGAATCACACATGCACCACATGCACAGCAGGCAACATACCAAATATGGGCAGAGTAAGGAAGTGCTATAAACAGGGCCATGCTTCTCCCAGTGACACAAAAGTGATCACAAATTACAAAAATTGGTATAAAGAGCCTCCTGGGTGAAGCAAGGAGCTACAAAAAGTTTTATTCTTCCACATAATTCAATTAATTTCTGCATACTGACACGTTCTCATGACTGTAAACAAATATACATATTAAAATGGCCAAAGATTTGAACCTGATATCCACTAACAAAATAAGATCAGACTGGCCAACAGTTAGTCATTGTTTATTTATATGATAGTATTGCTTTTCACTTGCTTTCTGAGACCTACCCACTTAAAAAAGATTGATATTTAGTAAAAACAACGGTTCTGTTTAGATCCGTGAGCACTAAATAGAACAATTTCATGATTACATGGCTCTGCAGGGTGAAATGGTTGTTCAGATTGATGGAGAATGTATTATATGTGATTCTACTTAGAACCTTAGTACCAAAAAGCGTTCTTTTATTGTTGCAATCTTGACGTCATAACAATAGCAGAAGCCTTTTTGGTGCCACAAACAACACATTTTCCATCAATCTGAAGAACACTTTCAAGATGCAAAGAACCATTTAAGCACACAAATGGTTACATACTCTTAAAAAAGACAGTTCTTCAACCGTTCTTTAGTAAAGACAGTGGTTCTATATATAACTGTGGACACTCAAAGAACCATTTGCATGCTTAAAGGGTACTTTGTATGGTGAAATAGTTTTTCAGATTGATGGTGAAAGTGTTGTACATGGTTCTATATAGAACCTTTTTGAATGTGGTTCTATATAGCACCAAAAAGGCTATTGTTATGTAGCAAATGTCAAAATTGTCACAATAGAAGAATGCTTTTTAGTACATATTCAGAAAGGTTCTATATAGAACCATATTGTGGTTCTAAATAGAATTATCGCCTTTACTAAAGAACCCTTGAAGAACCATCTTTTCTACGTATGTAGGAGATGGTCTTTTAATGGATTTTTCCAAATTTCTCCATATTTAACCCCTTAAATGGCAAGTTTTATCACACAATTCTAGAACCAATAATAGCTCCACCAGTTCGCATTGAAGTCCCTGTAATTACTGAATAATAAGTTCTTCATTCTAGACAAAACCAATTGAATCAAAGTTCTTCACACACAGTTAGTCTTTTAATGGTGGACAGGTACATGAGGGGGCTGTAAGGCTAAATAGCCCCCCCAAAAACTTTCCCAGGTTTACCACAATTTTATTATCATCAACATTCAGCATTACATATAAGATCTCACAAGGCATGTGTAGGTTCACTGGATTAAACCACTCTGAATGACCTTGTTTACATCACAACAATCAAATTATGGGTAATTATAATAATTTATAATCAAAGGCCTCTACAAATAGCAGTTTAATCAGGATCTGATAGTTCAAGCTACTATTAGAATTACAAACCATTTATTTAGTAACATACTAATATCAAAGCATAAATGCATTATATATACATGTATTAAGTAATATGATATATCTTTATGAATGCAGTATAAAATTAAAACCACACGATTTGCTAATGAAACCTTTAAGGAAACATCACAAATTAGCAAAATAGTAGGTACCTACTTAAGCCTTTAAAACAGAATGTTGACAATGCAATTATCATGTAATAATAATTTGGGGAGGGTGTTGTTGGTGGTGGTGGGGGGGGGGACTCCATAGTAATGTCCTTGGTTTTGGAATGGGATGTCTAGCAAGCTCAAGCAGGTGTGATAGTCAGGTGTCCACATAGTTTTGGACATATAGTGAATTTTTGTCTTTCTTAGAAATCTAGCGTTGGGACTGAGTACACATGATATGCTTTCTCTGACAAAAATAGACCTGTATTAAGTAAGTCCTTACTGCTATATGGTGCATGCTTGCAAATGAACAGCAGATGGCACAACAGATCCTGTATATGACCTCGAGAGCTCAATAATGAACAGTCTGTCATTTGATACCCTCCCAACACACAGACACACACACACACATCACACATCACGTCCCAGATGCCAAGTCAAGAGGAACTGATGCCACCGAGATGGTTGGAGGAGTCTTGTACACCTTAGTTCCTGATAAAATGCAGACTGATTCACATTTCTTCAACTAAAGGTAGTCTGTAATCTGAACCTTCGGTATAGTTAATAAGTCAAACCTTATCTGTTTTTTCTCCCTTGCCATCTTCCATCATACACATTGCATTTTCCTGCATGGCTTTAAACAAGCAATCAATTTGGGCAAAGGGCAATAAATGATTTTGCCTGCTTTTTTAAATTGAGACTGAAGGAGCATGATGCTGGATAAGCTGCCTTACGGCTGGAAGGTGGCCAGGCACCTGCCGCTCTTTGTCACAGTTATTTATAGTGCCCCTTTTATACTGAGCATTTTCTGTTGTTAAGGCTACACTATGTAAGTTGTGGGGATTTGGAGACCTCTCTGGTGGAAATGTATAATTGCACGCAACAAGTGGAAGAACATATTTTACCACTGGTTGAGTTTTGGAACCCTTCCCTGAGTGGATGAATCTGATGATTGAGAGTGCATTGAATGATTTTTAAAAAGAACTCGGTCAAAACTCGTTGAAGGACATGTCTTCCGAGGATATAAGTGAATTATCTATTATTGTCACCATATCTTCGTCATTATAATGTTGATTTTGCGTTTGAGACCTTAAAATACTGAAAGATATCTCACTTTACCTTTTGTTGTCTAGTTTAGTGTATATCAAATTGTACATCGCTACTTTTGGAACAAAACCTTGTATCACAATTTTTGACATTTTTGATATAATTTGAAAGTACCTGTTGCCCTTTATATTGTGTGTAAATTTCACGATGAATGGACAAACACACACACACACACACACACACACACACACACACACACATCATCTAAACCGCTTATCCTTCTGGGTTGCCGTGGGGTGCTGGAGCCTATTCCAGCTGTCATTGGGCAAAAGGCAAGATACACCCTGGACAGGTCGCCAGTCCATCGCAGGGCAGACAGACAGACGAATGGACAAACAGCAATGGCTAAAAATGACTTGCAAAAAACTCCATTTGACTTACATTAAAAGTAAAGTAGGTTTTTATTTCTCCTGTAAAGTTATCATTTTGGAAATACAAGGTTTTGTTCTGACAGCAACGATATGCTGTTACTGTATATAAAATATCCAAAAAAGTTTATATGAAAAGTAATTCCAAATTTTTGAACGGTAGCTAGCTAGCTAATCCATGCTGAAAAAAGACAATCAGAACCATTAGGATTAAAACCTGATGGTCTTGCTTTCTAATGGCAATTGGCTTAATGACTACCATTAAAGACACTAGTTTCCTGTAGGACACCTTTGGATCCCATTAAGAAATCGTCGAATACATCTGTAATTAACACCTATTAAACTGTTACAATCCTTTGCACTGTTAAATCAGCCCATCAGGGAAGCACAAAATACAATTACTGGCTATTGGACGCCATGAGAAACCAACAAAAATGACTATATTTTCAGCAGGAATGTTAGCTTAGCTTTCTCATACCTCAGAAAGCTGGCTGTGTGGTAGGTAGCAGTGTCGCTAGATTTATCCTCTCACCACTCAAGTGGTTTTGTACTCACAGATCTGTGGCATTTCTTTCGGTAAGTTCGTTTAGTCACCAGTGATGAGGTAAAAAGTGACATTTATTTGGTTAGAAATGTTACAGAGCTTATTAGGATACACTGATATAGCTAGCTAGCTAGTGGTAACTTTCTAAGCTGTCTCACTCAATTCTTCTGTCTTAAAACAAGTTTTTACCTTAATGCGGTTATAAACTTTCAGCAATGCCATCTTCTACCTCAGTGTTACTATCTAAACGCATAAAGCAGATATACTTTTACATGAGCTATGTTATTTTAGCTCTGCTGGATGAGTTGCTAGCATTAGCTAATGCGAATTGTTAAGTTGTTTACTTATGTAAACAGTGTTTTTTCTTGGCTTTCCTTGACCTTAAAATAGAAATGGAACCATTCTTTGCAGTAATATTCAGTGAATTGTACTGATAATAATTATTGAACTTGTTCTTGATGTATTTATTTATGTATCACTATAAAA